TTAACGAACTTAGCCTTCATTTTTACACCAACTTTAAGTGTGTTAAATTTAAAAACGATTCGATAAGTTTTTCAAGAGTTATCGTGGGAACAACATATGACCGTCTACAGACGGACAGACAGACAGACAGACAGACAGACAGACACACAGACAGACGCACTCGCCGGACCATGTTTTTCGGACTCAGGGCACCTCAAAACGTAAAGATTTCATAAAATTAGCAAAAGTCAAAATTCGACCAAAACTAATACCTTCTCATGTGATGAGAATGTAAAAAAATTTAGTTTTTTGACAGTTTTTAAAAAATAGCTTGAAAAGTTTTGGGTTGGGCAAAAAGTTGTCAACAGCAAAGTTGTAGCTGATGCAAAGCCGAGAAAAAAAGTCTCTGGTAGCGAAATCGCATATGCAAGGATGTCGGAGATAATGGAGTCGGAAAATTGATTTTTTATCAAAAAAGCGCACAAAAAATATATATAGAGAGTGATTTTTCTGGAAATTACGAGTTTTTTATGTTCAAGTATGTTTTTCAAGTATTTTAGGGTAGGGAATATGTCAAAATCAATTGACTGATTTTTATTCCTTTAAAAAAATTCGATTTTTAGTGTTATTTTAGAATTTTTTTAGTTTTTTTGACCATTTAAGAGACTATAACTTCGAAAATTAAGTTTTTATGAAAAAATGTTATAGAGAAAAGTTGTTTGTATTTTTCTAATCTAAAATAAAATAAAGTTAAAAATTCTGAAATTTGAAAAAATTGATTTTTTAAAATTTTGAAACTACCGTAGTTTTTGTAGTTTTCAACGAAAATGTCTGGTTAACGAACTTAGCCTTCATTTTTACACCAACTTTAAGTGTGTTAAATTTAAAAACGATTCGATAAGTTTTTCAAGAGTTATCGTGGGAACAACATATGACCGTCTACAGACGGACAGACAGACAGACGGACAGACAGACAGACAGACAGACACACAGACAGACGCACTCGCCGGACCATGTTTTTCGGACTCAGGGCACCTCAAAACGTAAAGATTTCATAAAATTAGCAAAAGTCAAAATTCGACCAAAACTAATACCTTCTCATGTGATGAGAATGTAAAAAAATTTAGTTTTTTGACAGTTTTTAAAAAATAGCTTGAAAAGTTTTGGGTTGGGCAAAAAGTTGTCAACAGCAAAGTTGTAGCTGATGCAAAGCCGAGAAAAAAAGTCTCTGGTAGCGAAATCGCATATGCAAGGATGTCGGAGATAATGGAGTCGGAAAATTGATTTTTTATCAAAAAAGCGCACAAAAAATATATATAGAGAGTGATTTTTCTGGAAATTACGAGTTTTTTATGTTCAAGTATGTTTTTCAAGTAATTTAGGGTAAGAATATGTCAAAATCAATTGACTGATTTTTATTCCTTTAAAAAAATTCGATTTTTAGTGTTATTTTAGAATTTTTTTAGTTTTTTTGACCATTTAAGAGACTATAACTTCGAAAATTAAGTTTTTATGAAAAAATGTTATAGAGAAAAGTTGTTTGTATTTTTCTAATCTAAAATAAAATAAAGTTAAAAATTCTGAAATTTGAAAAAATTGATTTTTTAAAATTTTGAAACTACCGTAGTTTTTGTAGTTTTCAACGAAAATGTCTGGTTAACGAACTTAGCCTTCATTTTTACACCAACTTTAAGTGTGTTAAATTTAAAAACGATTCGATAAGTTTTTCAAGAGTTATCGTGGGAACAACATATGACCGTCTACAGACGGACAGACAGACAGACGGACAGACAGACAGACAGACACACAGACAGACGCACTCGCCGGACCATGTTTTTCGGACTCAGGGCACCTCAAAACGTAAAGATTTCATAAAATTAGCAAAAGTCAAAATTCGACCAAAACTAATACCTTCTCATGTGATGAGAATGTAAAAAAATTTAGTTTTTTGACAGTTTTTAAAAAATAGCTTGAAAACTTTTGGGTTGGGCAAAAAGTTGTCAACAGCAAAGTTGTAGCTGATGCAAAGCCGAGAAAAAAAGTCTCTAATAGCGAAATCGCATATGCAAGGATGTCGGAGATAATTGAGTCGGAAAATTGATTTTTTATCAAAAAAGCGCACAAAAAATATATATAGAGAGTGATTTTTCTGGAAATTACGAGTTTTTTATGTTCAAGTATGTTTTTCAAGTATTTTAGGGTGGGAATATGTCAAAATCAATTGACTGATTTTTATTCCTTTAAAAAAATTCGATTTTTAGTGTTATTTTAGAATTTTTTTAGTTTTTTTGACCATTTAAGAGACTATAACTTCGAAAATTAAGTTTTTATGAAAAAATGTTATAGAGAAAAGTTGTTTGTATTTTTCTAATCTAAAATAAAATAAAGTTAAAAATTCTGAAATATGAAAAAATTGATTTTTTAAAATTTTGAAACTACCGTAGTTTTTGTAGTTTTCAACGAAAATGTCTGGTTAACGAACTTAGCCTTCATTTTTACACCAACTTTAAGTGTGTTAAATTTAAAAACGATTCGATAAGTTTTTCAAGAGTTATCGTGGGAACAACATATGACCGTCTACAGACGGACAGACAGACAGACAGACAGACAGACACACAGACAGACGCACTCGCCGGACCATGTTTTTCGGACTCAGGGCACCTCAAAACGTAAAGATTTTATAAAATTAGCAAAAGTCAAAATTCGACCAAAACTAATACCTTCTCATGTGATGAGAATGTAAAAAAATTTAGTTTTTTGACAGTTTTTAAAAAATAGCTTGAAAAGTTTTGGGTTGGGCAAAAAGTTGTCAACAGCAAAGTTGTAGCTGATGCAAAGCCGAGAAAAAAAGTCTCTGGTAGCGAAATCGCATATGCAAGGATGTCGGAGATAATGGAGTCGGAAAATTGATTTTTTATCAAAAAAGCGCACAAAAAATATATATAGAGAGTGATTTTTCTGGAAATTACGAGTTTTTTATGTTCAAGTATGTTTTTCAATTATTTTAGGGTGGGAATATGTCAAAATCAATTGACTGATTTTTATTCCTTTAAAAAAATTCGATTTTTAGTGTTATTTTAGAATTTTTTTAGTTTTTTTGACCATTTAAGAGACTATAACTTCGAAAATTAAGTTTTTATGAAAAAATGTTATAGAGAAAAGTTGTTTGTATTTTTCTAATCTAAAATAAAATAAAGTTAAAAATTCTGAAATTTGAAAAAATTGATTTTTTAAAATTTTGAAACTACCGTAGTTTTTGTAGTTTTCAACGAAAATGTCTGGTTAACAAACTTAGCCTTCATTTTTACACCAACTTTAAGTGTGTTAAATTTAAAAACGATTTGATAAGTTTTTCAAGAGTTATCGTGGGAACAACATATGACCGTCTACAGACGGACAGACAGACAGACGGACAGACAGACAGACAGACACACAGACAGACGCACTCGCCGGACCATGTTTTTCGGACTCAGGGCACCTCAAAACGTAAAGATTTCATAAAATTAGCAAAAGTCAAAATTCGACCAAAACTAATACCTTCTCATGTGATGAGAATGTAAAAAAATTTAGTTTTTTAACAGTTTTTAAAAAATAGCTTGAAAAGTTTTGGGTTGGGCAAAAAGTTGTCAACAGCAAAGTTGTAGCTGATGCAAAGCCGAGAAAAAAAGTCTCTGGTAGCGAAATCGCATATGCAAGGATGTCGGAGATAATGGAGTCGGAAAATTGATTTTTTATCAAAAAAGCGCACAAAAAATATATATAGAGAGTGATTTTTCTGGAAATTACGAGTTTTTTATGTTCAAGTATGTTTTTCAAGTATTTTAGGGTGGGAATATGTCAAAATCAATTGACTGATTTTTATTCCTTTAAAAAAATTCGATTTTTAGTGTTATTTTAGAATTTTTTTAGTTTTTTTGACCATTTAAGAGACTATAACTTCGAAAATTAAGTTTTTATGAAAAAATGTTATAAAGAAAAGTTGTTTGTATTTTTCTAATCTAAAATAAAATAAAGTTAAAAATTCTGAAATTTGAAAAAATTGATTTTTTAAAATTTTGAAACTACCGTAGTTTTTGTAGTTTTCAACGAAAATGTCTGGTTAACGAACTTAGCCTTTATTTTTACACCAACTTTAAGTGTGTTAAATTTAAAAACGATTCGATAAGTTTTTCAAGAGTTATCGTGGGAACAACATATGACCGTCTACAGACGGACAGACAGACAGACGGACAGACAGACAGACAGACAGACACACAGACAGACGCACTCGCCGGACCATGTTTTTCGGACTTAGGGCACCTCAAAACGTAAAGATTTCATAAAATTAGCAAAAGTCAAAATTCGACCAAAACTAATACCTTCTCATGTGATGAGAATGTAAAAAAATTTAGTTTTTTGACAGTTTTTAAAAAATAGCTTGAAAAGTTTTGGGTTGGGCAAAAAGTTGTCAACAGCAAAGTTGTAGCTGATGCAAAGCCGAGAAAAAAAGTCTCTGGTAGCGAAATCGCATATGCAAGGATGTCGGAGATAATGGAGTCGTAAAATTGATTTTTTATCAAAAAAGCGCACAAAAAATATATATAGAGAGTGATTTTTCTGGAAATTACGAGTTTTTTATGTTCAAGTATGTTTTTCAAGTATTTTAGGGTGGGAATATGTCAAAATCAATTGACTGATTTTTATTCCTTTAAAAAAATTCGATTTTTAGTGTTATTTTAGAATTTTTTTAGTTTTTTTGACCATTTAAGAGACTATAACTTCGAAAATTAAGTTTTTATGAAAAAATGTTATAGAGAAAAGTTGTTTGTATTTTTCTAATCTAAAATAAAATAAAGTTAAAAATTCTGAAATTTAACAATAATAATAATAATAAATAAAATACGAATAAATTAAACAACAATAATAATTATTATTGTTTTATTATGATGTATATTTGTTGTAGAGTTTGTTTTATGTTTCATTCAATTTGCAGTCATGATGATGCGTCAGTCAGCGTAACTTTCAGTAAGATTGAAAGCGCAATGTACAAATGGAGAAACAGAAATTGTCCACCCGCCGTGCACTCTCTGCAATCTTATACTCAAGAAGTAAACTCTGACAACTGGAAACATTTATTACAATGTAAAAGGGGTACAATGAACGTGTCTTTAGTAGTAGGTGAAGATTCCTCAGAATCTGTAATTTTTATGAATCCTGAATTTGTAAGAGAAACATCAGTTAGAGGATTTTTTTTTATTGACTCAACTTTTAAGACTGTTCCGCATGGAGTTGGAGCACAGCAATTTCTGACAATAGTATCTTGCAAATACAATCATGTAAGTTATGAATACCTATTTCAGGGCTCGTAAATTGTAAATAAATTTTAGAGAAATTACAAATGATTGTAGAATTTCAATTATTTTTAGTATAAAATTTCAATCAAATTCCTCCAAAAATATAATTATAATTTAAATGCTTTCGCTGATTCGATCCCTGCTATTTATTTATTATGCTGTTTAAAAAATTTGAGTTACATTTTTTTAATAATTAAAAAGTAATTCTTACATTTTTCATTTTAAAAGGCTGTACCATGTGTTTGGATTCTTATGGATCGAAAGAGTAAAGAAGCATACAAAGCCGTTTTTGAAGAAATTTCAAGATTAATACCAGAATTTATCATCGACGAAGCAATGACTGACTACGAAAGTGCATTAAAAGCAGCTTTGAGAGCAGTATTTCCAAATATAATTTTGCATGGCTGTTGGTTTCACTATAAACAAGTAAGTACAATGAGTTTGCATTGTTTAATATAATGAACATTATTATATTTACACTTCTAAAATGTTTTTTCCAACATTTTATGACTCCCTCTAACTAAAATTAGATAATTTTGAAAAAAAACATTTCTAGGAAACTTTAAAACCTTAAATTCTCCTTGAATTTTTTGGTTTTTTATATTTTCATAAAGAATGAAATTCTAAAATAACTTTTTAAAATATATAATAAATTGTAATTAACTTGACTTAAATATGGTATTTTAAAATTTCTTCAAGTTTTAAAAATATTATTTAACATTTTTAAATAATTATATTTATGTGATATTGTTACAAGAAGGTGACTTTTATTTTTCTTTTTTTAATATTTTATTAAAATATTCCATTGGAAAACAAAAAAAAATTTTGAAAAAATTTTAATAAAATTTTGTATTAATTACTTACTTTCAAAAAAAATTAATAACAATTATTTTACTTTAAAGTTTATAAAGATTTTATTTAAAATTTTGAACATATTAGTTTTTTAAAATATTTAATTTCTATTTCTTTGAAAAATAAATCAATGAAACATTATAAGGGAATATCAAAATTTGGCTTTTGTGATTACCCTGTTTATTTTTAGAAATAAATATTAAAAAATATAAATAAATTTTCTTTTATTCATAACATAATCTTATAATAAACAGAAACATTATTTTTTTTAAAGAATGAAAGAAGAACAAAACTTTATTTAATGACTTTTTCAAATTTTATCATTACAAATTTGATTTATTATTTGCTTTTATCTTGTTACTTTATTAAAGGCTCTACTAAGGAAAGCTATCAAACTTGGATTACGTGCGTTATTAAAGTATAATGAAGATGCCAAACATTTATTGTTACTTATAATGGATTTACCTCTACTACCAGCGCAACTGATTTCAGACACATTTTTCGAAATTTGTCGCCTACAAACTATTGAAATCCAAAGAAGATTTCAATATTTCTTTGCATATTATCAACGGCAATGGTTAAATAGAGTAACTCCAGATGTTTTTAATGTTTATGCGCAAATCCATCGTACCAACAATACCATTGAAACATATCACACAGTATTGCAAAAAAAACTCGGAGCACATTCTACCATGTGGATGTTTACTAGTAAGTTTATTATAAATGTATATAAAATTTCTTAACTCTCCGTCACTTGCATCAGATTTTATAACACAGTTGATTGCAGATGAGAAAACTTCCATTCTTTATAATGTAGTATAAAATTACTACAAAATAAAAAGTTTCTATGTTTGTATATAAATGCGTGTTGAATGAAAATTGTGAATTTTGAATTAAATGCTACAGTAAACTATCATATTATTTATTGTAATAATAAAAAATCAATAATATATACCAAATCTATTATTTACTATTATTCGCGTAATGAGAAGTTTCCTCATTTAAAATTTAACATTAATTATTTCTTTCCATATTAATAAAATATTAAAAATATTTCAGAAAACTTAATCGATTTTCATGACAACTGCCAAATGGACTTAGCATCACTTTCAAAAGGATTTAGAGTCACAAGACTACTAAAAAGTAAAAATAAAAAAAAGGAGATTTTGTTGCAGAACGCGTGGTCAACATTCAATCGACCAAATGGATTCTCTACAATCCAGTTTCTCGAACATACATTAACTATTACATTTAATACCATCGAAGCTTATTTTGCTTTATTTGGGGAAAATTAATTGATTTCATAAGAAAATCGACTACAATAAACCCACGTTAATACATACTCGTGATTAACACGAATTTACTCTTTGTGCGAATAGAAAATTGCGGTCAACGAGAGTTTACTGTATTTACTTTCATTGGGGTTTAAAAAAACATTTTTTTTTTTTTTTTTTGAGATTTTCAATTCAGTTGAGTTTAAGAAAAACAGTTTTTGTTTTTTGCAAACTTTAAAAAAGTGTTTATTTACATCAACATAGAAATCTTTTTACAATTTTTTTTGTAACAGTTTAAACTGTCAAGAGTAAACTAATATGGACGTATACATTTCATGCGTCGTTACATGATCCAACCACTCAATTGTTTACGAAAATCAGGGAATTGCAGTAAAATAATAATATAAATCACTATTTATCTAAAAAGAAACAATTGATGTTTAGAATAATTATACAATAATTAAAGAGCTGCACATAGAAACGTATTATAAACATTTTTTTTTTTGAATATTATTATTATAGAGCGAAACTTTAGAAACCCTGAAAATCAGAAAATTGTATTCACAAGAAACTGAAATGTAGTAAAAAAATAATTACTTTTATAAAAAGATTGACAAAATGAATTAAAAATTTTAAGATTGAAAGAACAGACATAATTTAAAAATATTCCATTTAGGAAAAATGGTATAATAATAAAAGAATTTAGAATACACAATTTTGCAGTAATATTGTAATAATTCATTTTTGCCTTTTACTGCTTTGTTAATGATGTTTATGGTTTTAAATCACCCAAAAAGATTAACCTGCATTTCAATGATATTTAAACAGGAAAAAGAGTAACCCATAGGGTCATTGTACTACACACACACAAAGGTTAAATTTAAAGAGCATGTATTTCTTTCTATACACCTTTACAAAACAAATTTTCGACATTATATCCATAATAAGACTATAAAAAATTTCTATTTGAAGCAATTTTAAGATCTTGGAGTCAATAATTTTTAAACTTGTAAACGGTTATGTTAAATACTATAGAATATTATTGATTGAATTAGAATCTAGATAAATATTGCAGGAAATTTTAATATACTTTGCATGTTTTGAAATATTTGGATTTTTTTTTAAAAAAATAATTTTTTTGACATTTAGACAAACTCAGAGAGCAAAATTCTAAACGGTTATGTGAAATATTCTAGATTATTATTGATTGGGTTAAAATCTGGATATATATTGCAGGAAATTTGAATACATTTACAAGCTTAGTCTCTGCATTTGTCTAAATGTCAAAAAAATTTATTTTTTTTTGTTGAGAAAAATCAAAATATTCCAAAAAATACAAAGTGTATTAAAGTTTTCTAAAATATATATCGAGATTTTAACCTAATTAATAATATTGTAGAATACTTTAGAAATCCATTTAGGAGTCTACGCTCCACGTTTATCTAAATCTCAAAAATGGATATTTTTCGGTTTTCCTAGCTTAAATTCTGTAAAAGTATCAGAAATATTTAAATAAACTTGACAGAATTATTTCTTTTTTTATTTTTTACACAACAAAAAAGAATGAGACAAATCGGTTAAGATTTACTCCAGTTATTCAATTTTATCGAAAAATTGACGATATTTCGAGAATATACATATTCGCGATTTTGATAAAATATTATTGATAGTTATTTTCTATACTTATATCGGCGATTCTCCAAATAGATTCATATAAATTAATTAAAATCATTTTTCATAAATTTTCCTTTTAAAAAGTTTTTTTTTGTTAATCGAAAAAACTTATTTTCTTTTATCAATTCTCAAATTTAAATGAATAGCCTCTTTTTTTAAACTTTAAACTAAAAAAAATTTTAATAATCATAATTAAATTTTAATAATTTCCATCTAAGAAAAAATAAATTTATTTTTGGTGAATCACTCATATATGGAAATATAAGAAAATTTGTGAGAATATTACAAGATGAAGAGGAAAGTTTTTCTCTACTCCCACTCTCAGAGAAAGATTGGTAATATTTTGTAGAGCATCGTTTTTTGAAATTCGCGCAAATTTTATCTAATGTATAAAGGCCTAAGTTGCGGCTTAACTGCAATTAGGATCATCACGTGATCAGGAAACTGGTGGCGCCATAGATAAAAGATTTCCGGATTATCGTGGTCATTCATCTCATTCATTTGCATCGCAATAAATCACATTCTGCACGTGCTGAATTCGCCCAACAAAGAGAATCAACACCTGCTTCTACAAAGGTATAAATTAGTATGTAATTATTTTTTCAAAATAAAATAAACGTTTTACTTTTTAAAATATATTAAAATTTATGATAGGTATAGATAAAGAGTAAAGTTTTGAAAATCTTTTATAGTGAATTTCAAATAAAATTTATCTAATTACACGTGGCTTCAATAATTTTTCTTCAAAATTTATAATTTTATTCATTGAAATAGTTTAATCTTACATGTGAATGGTGTAATATTCCGTGCTACTGGGGTACTTAACTTCGCGAACGCAAAGCATGGGTTAGAAAAGAACAGAAAAGAACATATTTGTGTCCTTTTTTATTTCATGCATCTTGTTCGCGAAACTTCCTGAATTTTGCGAAGCAGTTGTGCGTTGTTCTTTATATGTATATTAGCGCCATTTTCTCTCTTATCGTAGACAATAGCTTGACCCCTCCACCCTCCTGACGTGCTAAGTAGTTTTCGAATGACCTCTAACTATAATAAATTCGTTAATGAAAATTAATTTTTAGGTTAAGTTAAAGTAACTAATATTTTTTTTAGTGGTCACTCTGCTCGTTCACTTACATCGCATCGCATTTCGCACAATAAAGTGAATCAACGCCTGCTTCTACGAAGGTATAAATTATAGTATATATTTATATTTCTTAAGTAAAAGCATGTTACATTCTTTAAAATATGCTAAAATTCACAATAGTTATTAGATAAAAAATAAAGTTTTAAAAATCTTTTATAGTGGCTTTCAAAATTATTCTTCAAAATTTTGTAATTTACAATGCTTGGCAACTCTTTTTTCAAATTCTTTTAATATTTTTAATATATATTAATAATTGATAATTTTTTTTCTATTAGTTAAAAATAACTAAATTGATATTAAAAACATTACATATAAAAACGTTTCCCTAATTCTCTTTTATTCTTCCTCATTCTTTCTTATTCTCTCTCGTTCTCTTTTATTTATTTTATTATCTTATTCTCAATGAACCTCTTTACACCAGGGAGAGATGAGGCAAAGTACGTGCGCGTAGATGTAGAGAAGGGGAAGATTTTACATGCATAATCTTTCCTTTCTCTACCTCTACGAGAGCGTATTTTGCTTTCTCTCTCCCTAGTGTAAAGAAGCACTAAGGTTCACTTGGGTTCACTTTTATTCTCTCTCGTTGACTCTTTTTTCTCTCCGTTCTCTCTTTCTTTACCTATTATTCTCTCTCATTCTCAACCGGTCTCTTTCTATCTTATTCTCTCTCATTCTTTCTTATTCTCTCATACTCTCCCTTATATTCTATCTAGTTCTTTGTTATTCTCTCTCATTCTTTTTTATTCTCATTTATTCTCTTTTAATTTCTCTCTTGCTCCATTATACCTACCATTATACCACGTTCAGAAATCCTAAAGAAATTTTTTATTTAACTGTAATAACAACTGTTTCTATTTACCCCAACTGACTTTATTTTTTTTAAATTGGAAGACATGGAGGAAAACAATCAACCTGGCGATGAAAAAAACCATCAGCCTGGGAGAGAAGCGATAAACAGAGAACCTTTAGCCAATTTGTTGAATTTTGATGGTTATTACTATTTACAGAACGGCAGAAAATGTGGAAATAGGTACGTAGAAAAATGTAATTTCGTAATTAAAAACAATTGAACTCTACTAGCTTTAAAACGAAAAAGAAATGTTTTGAATTGATTTTCAATTTTTTTAGATATCTTTACTGCAAGTTTCATCGATCAAGAAGTTGTCCAGGAAGAGGAATTATCAAACAGAACGGACTTTTTGAATTATCAGTTCAACACTCGCATGCACCAGGTTTATTTTGGGAAAGAGTAACTTCCAGCAGAAGAGAACCATATCTGTAAGTATCCATTAAATTAGAAAAGAAGTTAAAATAATTCAATTTCATAAAAAATTTCATTTGAGATTTTAAAAAATCAATTTTTAAAAATTTTGCATATTCACAATAGAATTTATTTGTAGGTTTTTTTTTAAATTTACAATTGAGGAGGTCAATCAAATAACTCAATTTTCCCTCGGCCCAAAAAGTGTGGAGCCAGACAGTATAGGGTCAAAATTGAGAAAAATGAAATTTTTCATTTTGAAAAACGGCATCTTGTAGATGATAAAAAAATACAACTTTTTTCTCAATCAATTTTTTTTGTAGAGTCAATATTTCTTATGGTAAAAAAACCAAAAAAATTTTGTTTACACGGAGAGAAATTTATAGTAGTGGGTAACATAATTGTGGTTAGGGTGACCATCTTTAATGCTACGTATACAGACAGCTATCTAGATAGTCACCATTACCATCAATATCATCAGAAGTAACATCTTGGTAGTACGGGGTAGCATAACTATATTTTTTTAGCATCTGTGATGGTAGCCAGTAGCATAATGATAGTATCGAGTAACATCAACTTTTTAACATCAAAATCTGACTATCCATTTTTCTCAGTGTATAAATTTAATTAACTTTTAAAGTACAAACTTTCTTTTTCTATAGAAATTGTTAAAGAATTTGCTTGTAATTTTTTATACATACTTATTTGAGTTTGCTGATACAAAAAAAGTCAAAACATTCAAAAATTATTTTTTGTTTAATTTTTTTATTATAAATAATGACCTGTCAGCAATAACGATATCTCTCTCTAAAACTGAATTAGTGGAATTTCACTGCGAGAATCATTGACTCTATTCTCGCGATTTGAATAAGTGAAATTTCACTGAAGATCAGTTAAAAATTATTAAAATTTCAGTGATTTTTCACTGATTGGACAATTTAAAAGTAACTGAAAATGTCTGCCGAACATATTGAAATTTTCAGTTACTTTGTAATTGGCCAATCAGTGAAAAATGACTGAAATTTCAATCATTTTGAACTGATCTTCAGTGAGATTTCACTGATTCAAATCGCGAGAATTGAGTGCTGATTTTCAGTCAAATTTTACTGATTTTCAGTGGAATTTCGCTGATTCAGATTTAGAGAGCTTACTTTTTATGAGAAAAAGTATCGAGGGAAGTTTTTAGTTGAACAACCTTCCAGTGATAAAGTCATTAAAGCGCTGTCTCTTCCGGCGTATGCCTGACCTGACATAAACTTTTTAGAAATTTAATAACTTTCTTATTTTTAAACAAATATTTATGAAATTTGCTAAAAAACTTCCCTGAATAATATGGAATAACTATATCACTGGAAGGTTGTTCAACTCAAAACTTCCCTCGATACTTTTTCTCATCGAAAATAACATATCGTTATTGCTGACAGGTCATTATTTACAATAAAAAAATTAAACAATAATTCTTGAATGTTTTGTGACTTTTTTTGTTTTAGCAAACTCAAATAAGTATGTATAAATAATTACGAGCAAATTCTTTAACATTTTCTGTTGAAAAAGACAGTTTGTATTTTAAAAGTTAATTAAATTTGAAAACAAAATTTTTTTGATTTTTTCCCTATAAGAAATATTGTCTCTAAAAAAGAATTGATTGAGAAAAAAGTAATATTTTTTTATCATCTACAAGATGTCGTTTTTTAAAATCAAAAATTTCATTTTTCTCAATTTTGACTCTACACTGACTGGTTTCACACCGTTTGGACCGAGCGAAGATCGAGTTATTTGGTTGACCTCCTCAATTGTTAAAGAATCTAAATTGAATGTATGTAAAAATTTAATTTTTAAAAAATTTAGTATTTTAAAGTCAAATAATATAAATTAAAATTAAATAATAAATTAAAAATGTACTTTTAAATAGTTACCTTTCTTATTTTTATTATTATATTTCCAAAAAATATTTTTCTTGGAATCAAGTCAAAAGTGCTTCAAAGAAATATTACATTGAAAAAATTACATTTAAAAGTTTAGACTTTCAATTAAAAAAAACATTTTTGAAAAGTTTAGAAATCGTGTTTCCTAATTACACTCGACTCTCAGATCTTTTGCATTCAGTTCTTTTACACGCTCGATCCTTTTGCAATTAAAATTTTAAAAACTTCAATTATAAATGTAGGTATTAAAACTAAAACATAAATACTGTCTTTAATTTACATTTGGTTATATATATTGTTTTGTCTTGCGTTACCATGGCATATTTGTTTTGGTAAAAGGTATAAGAGGATTTGGTTCTATAAATGCAAAAGAACCGAGAGTCGAGTGTAAATTGTTTCACAGAAAAAAAATGTTCTTAATTTAAAAAACTTTGCAGCATTTTTTCCTCTTAGATGTACCCAGGAATAAGGGGTGAATTAAAGTGGATTGGCACTTTCATGCCCTTAAATTCCAAACCAACTCCGTTTATGTCCGCAATCTTAATGAATTTCTTTTCTATTGTTAAATTGATAATTTCTATCCATTTAATTCTCTTTAACCACGTGACCAGAATTTGAATCCCCTTTAATGCCCTTTAAAGAATTCAATGTTAATTAAAAGGCATTAACTCCACAACAAATGATTCCCTTAAACGTCATTAAAGTAAATTCAGACTCCAATCCACTTTAGTTCCCCCCTATAACTGGGTAACCACTAAATTTTTTCTTTCTAACTGAGAAGATTTTCTTCTTTAAAATGTTCTATGAAATATCAGTTTTTCAACAGTTTGAAGCTGCGTTTAGAAAAATATAAAACAACTTTTCAATTCTTCTTTCAATCATAAATTTGTTTTAATTTGAGAGGAATAATTGGGGGGCCGGATGCTTTAATTTGTAACGCACCATTTTCGCGAAAGATTATAAGTCATCTTTCAGTTGAAAATCTTTCAAATATAAACAAAAATTTCTCTTTTTTGTAGATGAATATTCGTATATATTGAAAAGGAAATGTAAAAATAATTGTTAAGCGAAATTTTATTCTCCTTGTGACATTTAATTTTTTATAATGTACAATTTTTATTTATCTAAATAATTACATTCGTTATTTTTAAAAAAATTATTCAATATTATAAGCAAATAATAAAAATTTGTTTAAATATTTTTAATTTCAAAGAATTTGATTAAAAATTATCAGTAATTTCTGACAAATATGAATCTTTTATAAGTCAATATTTCAATACTTATTTCTAAAATATTATTATGTATATAAGAAGAAGATTCTTAATCAGTTTTATCTTTTCTAATTTTTTCAACAAATCAGCAGAATATTGTTTGTTGAATGAGGAGGAGATATTTTCTTAGATTCTCTTAAATAATGAATTTTTATTTTCAGACATGAAGGTGCTGAAAGGGACTTACCGTTTAGAGTCGCAAATAGACCAATGATAAGATGGCGTAACAGAAATATACCAAGGGACACCCCAACTGATTTAAATAGTTTCCATGAGATACTCTCTAATGAAAGATGGCAAAATTTGCGAAACTATAATGGAGGATCACTCGAATATTATTTACTATCTGATGATGACAGTACGTCCATCTTAATCATGGACTTAACTTTTGCGAAATCCTTACTTGAACGTGGAACATTTCTTATTCACGCTTCGAGTACTGCAACTCCTTCCTCGGTTTGGTGCCAACAACTAATGTCAATTGTATGCGTTAGAGATAATTCTGTAAGTATATTGCAAATCTTTTTTTATTTCAATTATTAGTAAACAATACATAAATTTTGTCATGAATTTTTTTAAATTGTATTTTGTACGTTTCAGTTGATTCCCTGTGCATGGGTACTCATGAACACTGTTAGCATCGAGGCTTACACATCTGTCTTCAATAAAATTCTAAATCTTGTTCCCGAATTCAAAATCACATCGGTACTTACATCTTACTCCAACTTCTTGAAAAGAAGTATTCAACTATTATTTCCTGCAGCTGTCATTTCTGGAAGTTTACATCACTATCAGGAGGTATTTATTTCTAACAAGTACATTTATATTAATACTGTAATAATTATTATTATTAATATAACAATTTTCTTCTTCCTTTACAAATGTCTGCTAGAAGTTTAAAATTATAATTTTTTTGTTTATTTATTTTATATATTTTTAATAGTTTAGTTAGGTAGTTTATTAAAAATTTTGGTAATTATGCAGAAGAAGGACTTTTTCAAATTTTAAAGAGTTTCAGTTAATTTTTTTGGAAAAGCTTACATTTGGCTAGTTATTAAAGAATCCGGTGGGGGAGGATGAAAAAGTGGTATAGTCACAAAAAATAAAAATATAAAAACCAAAAATCTTCAAAATTGAGAAAAGTCCTTCTTCTGCATAATTACCAAAATGTTCATTGACTATTAAAATTTATTTATTAGAATCTAATAAAATTCAATTATGAAGTATCAACTGCATTGAAATATAATAATTTTAATATCTAGTAGCATCTACTTTATACTGTTCATTATTAAACAAAATTTTCTTAATATAAATTAATGAAATGTTAACTACTAATCTAATTTTTTAGGGAATTTTTAACCTGATTGTTAAACATGGTTTGCATAATTATCTACTCAACGAAAATGTAGATAGAGAAATCACCCAATTTTTGCATTTTACACTTACATTGCCTCTTTTGCCAAGCAACACGATTGAGGAAGCATTTCAAGGAACGGTTGAAACCCTTAGTGCAAATGCTTACACGGTATTACAATTGTTTTTTATAAACTATGACCAAGTTTGGTTAAGAGAAGTAGGAGCAAATCATTTCTGCGTTCACAGAAATTTTGAACGTTGCACTAATGTATTTGAGAAATACAATATCATTTTATCGACAATAATTGGTACTCACCCTGACGTCTGGAAATTCCCAGGTATTTTTTTTAAACAATTATGAACTTATTATTTTTTTCCTTTAAGGGGGTATTCAGGTCCAAAGGTCTCAATTTTAAACGTTTTTGCGACGATTTAAAAAAATGTGTTTTTTGAAACTGTGTTTTGCCACTTTCGAATTTTGTAAAAATAGTAAACAAAAATGTTTTTTTAAATCCAAGGTTCCGACCATAAAGAGATATACAAAGAACATTTTTGTAAAATCTAAAGTAAATCGGTTGAGTAAGATTTTTTAGTTATCGTGTCAACCAGAAGTTTTTTCATACTTCACTTCAAAAGTTGATAACTTTAAAAATTTTTTATTATTTTTTATCTGAACTGTTTAAACATTAATAAACAACTTGCAAAAAAAGTAAATATTATAAATGTTAAACTTTCTTTTTTATCTTACTCGGAAAACGCCTTAAAATTGAGGCATAGACCAGAATACCACCTTAATAATATTTAAAAGATTTTTAACAATTTTGTTACATTAACATTACAGAGAGAATTGCATCACTCCAAGCGCGATCATTTCGAGACAACGAAAAAATTGACGAACACAGAGCCACTGTAGTTATTCTGAAATTGAATAATCGTCGAATAAACATTAAAATCCGAGATGCGTGGGATGATTTGGAATTAGGATTAATAACAAGAAATGAATTTATTTTCCAGTGTAATAGTTTCATCACAGAATCGAGTATTAAATATTTATGCATCAATGTACTTGGAGTTGACTTGGATAACAGGATTGATGACCAGAATGACAATCCAGGTAAATTTTGTTATATTTATTTAAATAAATAAGAATCATATATAACAACAAAACAGCAATTCGCACGCTAAAACGCGCGATTAACTTCTTCTTCCTTACTTTTTAAAATAAAATAATCAATTTTAAAAACAATATAATGTTTATTTATACCATGAATTTTAAAACAAAACCTTCAATTATTTAAACAAAATTTTACACAAATATTTATTTATTTTTAAAAGTAATAAAAAGTTATTAAAAATTAATTATTGTCCGAAATAGTAACTTATAGTAGAACTTCAATTATTTTCAATATAAATTTAATCGAATTCCTCGAATATTGTAATTATTCTTAAAAATTTTATCAAAATTTGTCAAATAAATTCAATTACTAAAAAGTATGTTAATGAAATTCGTTATAAATATTTAATTTTAAGAAACATTCAATTCTTTAATAAATTATTTATTTTTCAATAATTTTAAAGTCAATCCTTTAAACAAAATTCTAATGAAATTCTACGCAAACATTCAATTATTTTCAAAAATCATAATAATAATTTCACTGCAATTCAATTATTTAAGAATTTTTTATCAATTTCTTCGCAATAATTTCACTCCTTCCATATTATCAACAAACACAAATATTTTAAAAAGTTAAAAAAAATCCGTTGTTTAATTCCTTTATTTTTCAAAATTTTCAGATAAAATTATTTTGAAAAATTACATTATTTTTCAACGAACTTAAAGAAATTCTTTAATAGAATTTAATTAATTACATAAACTCTAATAACATAAGTTACAAAAGTTTAATTTTCAATTAATAATTTTAATGAATTTTTAATGGTAAAATATTATTTATTACAATTACTAACAAAATCGATTGTATTCAATAAATTAAAGAATTTTTTTATGATATTAATTATCGTTAAAAACTTAAATCCTATGTATATATTCATCGAAAGAATTTAATTATTTTCTATATTTTAATAAAATTCCTAAAATAAATTATAGGTATTATTTGAGAAAAACTTGAATTACTTTAAAAACTTGAAAGAAATTGTTCATAAATTTTAATTACCTTCAAAATTCCAATTAAAAACACTGAGACAGTATCATTTATACACATTAAATTGAATAACAAGTGCTTGTCTTACAGGCGTAAGAAAATGTTTTTCTTTCTCTACAATAAAATATCTTGGTGTCTTTGAAACAAATATTATAAATATTTAATGGTCTATATTACAGACAGAAAAAATATTTCCTATGGGTCTATATTACAGACAAAAAAATTTTTTGTTGTGGGTCGATTTTACAGACAAAAAATTTTTTGTTGTGGGTCGATATTACAGACAAACAAAATTTTTCTTCTTGGGTCTATATTACAGACTTAGAAAATTTTTAATATGGGCATATTTTACAGACAAAAAAATAATTCTTATTTATTGATAAACATTACAAACAAAGAACATTTTTTACGGTTATAATTTCTTATAAAATAGATTTTTATGCGTTTTGTCTGACAAATATTTTTTTGTTAATATGTGAAATTCATTTTCTAGACATAAATGCTCTAGATTAATTAATTCAAGTTTTTATATAGTTACATATGTATAAATTTAATTATGTACTTTAAAACATGTGAAATAGATATTTTTATTGCATGTATTTACCGTTCAATGATACGCCAAAAACAAAATAGAAATATCGCAGCAGAGATTCCGCTTCAGATTAATCGACGGATACCAAACGACGGTGAAATAAGACGTTGAACTTATCAACGACGATGCTGAATTAAAAACAATTCTGAATAATAAATATATTTAGAATAAACCATAAATAATAAAACACAAATCATTTCACTAAACAATTGGCCATTTTATTTGAAATTCAAACTTCATTTACGCAATGATACATTACTTAGACATACAACAACTCTAGACATTCCACAATGGTGAAACCCCGAGTAAAATTCCGCTCTATCAAATTAATGGCCCACGAGCTACTAATGTAAGATTAACAAGTTGACCGTCTTCTTCTTTCTTTTACATCATTTTTTAATTTTTATAAGGGCACACATCTAGTCTTTTCACTTACTCCAGGGGACAGCGACAACCTGTTAAAGAAAATTTTGGAGGAACCCTGGAGAATCGGGACTTTTCTCAACCTCGCATGCGCAATGAATTTTCACAGAGAATCAATTTCTTGAATATATTAAAATTATATATTCCTAATGACAAAAACTACACACGGTTCATGTAGCAAAATGCTTTTAATTATTACACAAGTACATTTATATACTAAAATACATGTGCATTTAGAACTATTATTTTATGTACAACTGTACGTGAAATAACACGCACAATTTTACATTTAAATGTAAGAGTTTTATTTACCCGTATTGCAAAAATAGATTTCGCCGCCACAGCTGTTACCTCTGTACCTTTAAATTTGACATAAATTTCTAAGGCTGCTGACCTTTTGGTTAACCCCTTCGCAGTCAACACCAAAATCTCATAAGTGGGCTTAAAATGTCGACAACTTTTTAGAACACTAAAATTTGCGCAAACGAGCATACTAATTTATTTAAAGTCGCTGATTACGAATCCGATATCAGATTTTGAAAATTCAAAATGGTGGATCCAATATGGCGGACATGAAAATTAAAAATCGACTAAATTCACTTGAAACTTGTTACTCAGGGGTTTTCTGGGTCGCTGATTACGAATCCGATATCAGCTTTTGAAAATATAAAATAGCGGATCCAATATGGAAGACACTATTTTCTAAAATTCATCGGATTCACTTGAAACTTTTTACCCGGGTGTTTTCAGGGTCGCTGATTACGAATCCGATTTCAGATTTTAAAAATTCAAAATGTCGGATCCAATATAGCGGACGAAATTTTCTAAAATTCATTGGATTCACTTAAAACATTTTACTCGAGGGGTTTCGGGGTCGCTGATTACGAATCCGATTTCAGATTTTGAAAATTCAAAATAGCGGATCCAATATGGCGAATTAAATTTTCTAAAATTCATCGGAATTTTCCCCCTCAGTCAGCTGTTAAGTATACTACGTTACTTACGACCCCAGAGTTTACCACGTGGAGGTATGCGGTCGGAATTTACACTCCTTTATTTACTTTGTTTTTTAAATATTTTTTTGTTTGTTCTTATATTGGATCCTCTATTTTCAAGACCGATATTACATTTTTAATCTACGACATCAATAAATCCTAAGTAACAATTTTTAAGTAAATTTGATAAATTTTTTAAAATGGCGCCAGCCATATTCGAACCGCCAAATTGTATTTTAAAAATCTGATGCTAGATTCGTAATCAGCGACCCCAAAAACCGCAGAGTAATGAGTTTTAAATGAATCGGACGAGTTTTTGAAAATGTCGTCCGCTAAATTGGATCCGCCATTTTGAATTTTTAAAATCTGAAATCGGATTCGTAATCAGCGATCCTAAAAATCCCCGAGTAAAAAGTTTCAAGTGATTCCGATGAATTTTTGAAAATGTCGCCCCGCCATATTGGATCCTCCATTTTCAATTTTTAAAATCTGCAAACGGATTCGTAATCAGCGATCCCGAAAACCCCCGAGTATCAATTTGTGGACAAATCTGTGTGTTTTTTTAGCCATAAATCTGCTTGCGTCTATACACGTCATCGACTGTCAAGGGGTTAAGATTTGACGGGAAATCTCTCTTTAACCTTTTCTGCTCTTTAAAATTCGAGTTGGGTCGACTTTTTTGCGATTGTTGCCAATGCCTTTCATATGTGAAATACAGTTTTTCTACTTTATTTCTTACAATAGTGATTGAATAATAAATAATCAAACTTTGTAGAAACTTGCAGTATATCAAGTTGTCTTTGGAATGATATCATTTCGATTTACGATTTTTAAATAAATTATAATTATTCATTACGCCCCTTAGCCATTATGTTCCGTTCCCCTATATACGTGATTTGTAAATATGATATTAAATGTATGATTAAAAACATGTAAATCTGGATACAGTGGATGTGATAGTTTAATTCTTATAACAAAAACTTTAAATTTACTGAAGATTTGAAAATGAACAATTATATAAATTTTCTGCATGATTTTTTTAAAAGAACGTCCAAACGCCTAAACTTTTGGAAGGACCTTCCGGCAGGACGCGCATTACGGCATCTTGTTTAAATAATTAATTAAATTTTTTTGAATATTATAATATATTATTTTATACATAATTTATTAAATATATTAACAAATATTGTTATTATATGTTATTTTGAGCTTAAATAAGAAATAGAATTAGAGATTTTGAAAAAATCGCCATTTTTAATGCTATACAAATATTTGAATAACTTACAAAATAATAAACGTTTTCTAATGCTTCTCTTCTTATTTTAAAGGTCATTTTCAACAGTATGAGAATTACTTCAGCTATTAACGTGTATTTTTTGCTTAGAAATTGAAAGCAAAGCAAAGGTAGGATACCCAAATTAGAAAAAAACAATAAAAAATAGCACAGCATTTCAAAAAAAATTTTGAACTAAGAAAATAAAAACAATCCTCCAAAATTTACCAGTCGTTTCCAGAAGCAAAAATAAATCACCTCCACTGAGATGAGACAAAAAGTTAAAAATTCGAAAAAACTTGAAAAAAACTAAGTTTTTCAAAAGTTATCGTGGGAATAAATTTTTTTCTACGGACAGACAGACAGACCTACAGACAGACGTAATCACCGGACCATGTTTTTTGGATTCAGGGCACCTCAAAACGCAAAGATTTCATAAAATTAGCAAAATTCAATTTTCCACCAAATCTAATACCTTCTCATGTGATGAGAATGTAAAAAACCATTTCCAACAAGATAGGACCAAAAATTAAAGTGTAACAAAAGGGTCAGACCAGACTAATTGTGTTAAAAAAATTTCATTGATTTTCTAAAATGTTAAAACTTTTATGAATATATTTTAGTTATAACATTTTAGAAAATCAATAAAAATTTTTTAACCCAGTTGAGCTAGTCTGATCCAAAAACTTTTAAAAAAAAAGTTTCTATGAAAAAATGTAGAGAAAATTTATTTGTATTTTCCTAACCTAAAATAATATAAAGTTAAAAATTTGAAAAAATTGGGTTTTAAAATTTTGAAACTACTGTAGTTTTTGTATTTTTCAACAAAAATGTCTGGTTGACGAACTTAACCTTCATTTTTACACTTACTTTAAGAGAGTTAAATTTAAAAACGATCCAATAAGTTTTTCAAAAGTTATCATGGGAACAACATTTTGTGGCTACAGACATACAGACAGACACCATCGCCAAACCATGTCTTTTGGGTTTAGGGGACCCCAAAACGTGAAGATTTCATAAAATTAGCAAAAGTCAAAATTTGCATAAAACTAATACCTTCTCATATGATGAGAATGTAAAAATATTTAATTTTTAGCTCGAGTTTGAATGAATGTCAATTTTAAATACATTTTGACCTACATTAAGGTCAATTTTAAAGGCATTTTTGACCTATAAGTCCCCTTTCTGACAAATCGAAGTTGGATATCAACCCTACTTCTCTATCCTTTCCAATTTAGGCCAGGTTTGTTAGTGTTAATAATAATAGTTTCTATGAGACGCATGCTTATTCCCGATATCTTTTTTGACCAAATAGGTATTTGATATAAAACTACTTAACTTAAAATTCACGTAATATGCGCATTATTTGACATAAATTTCATTGTACACAAAAACCATTTAACAGAAATATCATTTGTCATAGAATTCATTAAACAGAAATATTATGTTACATAAAACTCAGATAACTTAATTCCCATTTGATATAAAAATTATGTAACATAAATTTCTATTGACATAAATGTATAAATGTCATTTAACGTAATTCTTATTTGACATAAATATCATTAGACATAAAATTAGCTTGACATAAATTTCATTTGACGTGAATATCATTTAACATACTTATTATTTAACGTAAAATTAAATTTATTTAAATTTCATTTAGCATAAATTCCATTTAACATAATTCTCATTTGGCATAAAATTTACTTGACATAAATTTCATTTGGTATAAATCCCATTTAACATAATTTTAATTTGACATAAAGTTCATTTGACATAAAAGACATTTAACACAATTCTCATTTGTCATAAAAGTCATTCAACAAAATTCTCATTTGACATAAAAATCATTTTACACAAATTACATTTTACATAACAATATCGGCGCGAATTTTAAAAGTAACCAATTAGATATTATCAACAACATTGTGATTCGCCAATTTTGAATTTCGCGCCTATGTCAACAGAAATGTCTAAAACAATGCCAGGTGTTTTTAACCTGCCATAACAATGCCTATGTCTTTCCATGTCAAATGATCTGTATGTAAAATAAAATCTTTGACAACTGAATTCTATGTCAAATGAGAATTATGTGTAATGAGTTATCCGTCAAATGAAATTTATATCAAGTGAACTTTATGTCAAATGAAAATTATGTTAAATGGGATTTATACCAAATGAAATTTATGTCAAGTAAATTTTATGCCAAATGAGAATTATGTTAAATGGAATTTATGCTAAATGAAATTTATATAAATTTAATTTTACGTTAAATAATAAGTATGTTAAATGATATTTGCGTCAAATGAAATTTATGTCAAGCTAATTTTATGTCTAATGATATTTATGTCAAATAAGAATTACGTTAAATGACATTTATACCAAATGAAATTGATGTCAAATGAATATTATAACAAATAAAATTTACGTTAAATGAATTTTATGTCAAAAGAAATTTATGTTAAATGATTTTTATGTCAATAGAAATTTATGTTACATAATTTTTATGTCAAATGGGAATTAAGTTATCTGAGTTTTATTTAACATAATATTTCTGTTTAATGAATTCTATGACAAATGATATTTCTGTTAAATGGTTTTTGTGTACAATGAAATTTATGTCAAATAATGTGCATATTATGTGAATTTTAAGTTAAGTAGTTTTATATCAAATACCTATTTGGTCAAAAAAGATTTCGGGAATAAGCATGCGTCTCGTTTCTATCGTATGCATTATCATAATATCGGTTTCTATGGAAATAGTTACTGTGTTGACTATTTGCATAGGCAACGGTTGCTGAAAAACAGTCGCTATAGTATCCATTACCATAGCAATAGTTGCTTTAGAAACAGTTTTTTTGTACTTAAGATTGAAATTTTTTTTTATTACCATAGTAACCGTTGCCATGGCAACTGTTGCTATGTTAATGGTTG